GTGGCTTAATGTGGGCTCTCTAGGTTCACTGCTTGCTGAGTAGTGTATATGAAATGCAGAGTCTACCTCAAAGTACATTTTTTTTAGGGATATTTTGCTTGTTAGTGTAGACCACTACACTATGGGGCCACTGTTTTGCTTAAATAAAGGATTGGGTTATTTTTTCCACCACATATTTGTCTGTTGTCTCCCTTAGGAAGGTGTGTTACTGGGAGCAGTGGGAGCTTATGAATGGAACGGGACAGTGGTAATGTACACTCCTGGAGGAGACGTGGTTCCAGGGAAAGATGCTTTCTTTGACCCACTGAAAGAGGCTAGGAATGAAAGGCTGGCCGCGTACCTCGGTGAGTGGAAACTTAATAAAATTTATAGTTCCTTTAAATGTCACTGATATATAAATTTAAAGTCTTCATGGATTAAAAATATATATATAATAACTGACCTTTAAGTGAGTTCCTCAGCACAACACTTGCTCTTGTAGTTATTTACTTACATTACCCGTTAATGCTGTTAGATGCATAATAGCAGCCTTTAAAGAGACTTTGTTTAAATGTTTTTTGGTGAAACGTGTTTAACATATTTACATATTATACATATTTAGCCTTAAAAATGAAGGAGTCCGAGTTTGTTAGGAATAAAATATTCTAACAACATTACTCAAACAGTGCAAAAAATTAAAATCTCGGGAGGCTATTTATAATATGTACCTTTGGCTTCTCATATGTATTTATGTCAATTATGGAACCAAATTTATGAATAGTTTTAATGCTACTGCTACTGCTTTTTATGATGCTTTTATTACCATCTAAATATCCAGGCCTACTTTGCTATAAAGCACCACAGGCCACTTTAAGTACTAGCTGTGTTTGTTGGATATAATCTAATTTAAAGCAGCCTAAAAGTAAAAAGGCTTACATTCTCTGTTTTCCCTTAATATGGAGAATCAGGACTAGCTGTGTATGTGTATACTTCTGTTTATTGCATTTGGGGAGTCTGAAGAATTACATAAAGTCATGATAAATAAATAAAATTTAAAAAATGACTTTATCAATTAATTAATTTAATGAATAAACTTTGGTTTCATGTATTTCAGTTTACAAAAATATTTTTGCTTCATGTTTATAAGTGCCTGATTAACAGTCTTCCTTCTTTCTCCTCTTCTTTGACTGTACGCTTTATTTAGATTATATATGTTAATAATTTCTTAAAATATATCAATCTTAAGCAAGTTAAAGCTAAAACAATTAGAGCGTTGAATTAAAATACATGGAATACACACCTTTTTTTTGTTCCACCGACCTAGATCTGATCTAAGTGTTTCTGATGTAAAATAAAGTTGCAGAATAAATATGGAAGTTTCTGCTGTGAGGGGGAAATAGGTACGTCATTTGTCTGACTTCGAAAGCAGATTCTGTTCTCTGTGTCACATAAATAATAATACACAGGCTCGTCGCTCCATGCTGATGCCTTTTATGGCTCGTAAAGCAGCCGGGGTATCTTAGTATCAAGTTATTTAATCAACATGTCATTAGATGGAGCGCTGGTAGCTCACATACTATAAACTCAGCTGTTGGCACATGCTCGTTCCGAATGCTCAGGCTACAGCATGCAGAGCTGCGATGCGCTTTTCTAAATGAGTGTGTGTTCCTTTCCAGTGTTTTACAGTTTCCTTCTCACACGCAGAAGTAAACAGCTGCCAGAGGAGGCATTAAAAATATCCCATAAACAGAGCGAGGGTGCATTTTTTTTCTAGAGAAATCGTAAATCGCAGATACTTTTGTGACACACTCCTAAAGGTTCGTACTGTTTGGATTGAAAAAACGTGCTTGTAAATGCACTCTCCACAGGGTATGATGTGCAGTCAGCATCCACGTCTGAGGGAGAGCTGTACATCACAGGTGCACCGCGGTACAACCACACCGGCCGCGTTGTTATCTACCGACTCGATGAAAACAACAGAATCGTCATCTCGCAGATACTGAAAGGAGAACAGGTGAGTCTTTGGCAGGCTTGGCTAGCCTCGGTTCCTCAGGGCGCTTTTGCACTGGAGATGTGAGAAGCTTAAAGATGGTAACTCGCGGTTTCTATCTTAAGCTAATTACACATGTGCCTTTAAGGGAAATAATAAAAGAAAGGGAAGGATGCAAAACACAGTAATTAATAGAAAACACACCTTGTCCGCTGTTGTGTTTTACCATATCAGAGCCACTGTAAAAACACATCATTCACATAAGCCATTATTTATAGAAACAATAGCTTCATTTACGTCTGCAGTGCTCGCAGTAGAGGAAAAAGTCTGAAAAGGTTTTTTTTTTTTAAATCCAGCAACACATCCACATGGATATTGGCCAATGAGAGAACTCCAAGGACTGGTTGGGCAGATGGTCAGTAAGTGGCTCCAGGCCATTCATTCCTGGCAAAAGGAAGTGCCCAATAACACAAGCAACACTATGTTTAGTCCATAGTGCGCTATAAAGGAGCAGTTTTTAAAATATGGCTACAAAATGTGCCTGTATGACAAGCCTGATTCAAACAGAAATAAAATAATGCAAAAAACCCCCAAAAACAAGTGATGTGCAGCATATTTAATATAGACACACTAAACAGTAATATAACAACCTCTCATCCGAACTGAACTGAAGAAGTTTCTCAGATGAGAGGTGAAACGTCTTCAAGCAACTTAAAGAAGTCCAGACGCTTTTCTTTCCCAGCTCCTTAGATAGCTTACAATATATCAATAAATAATAAATAAATACATAAAAGCACAACAATATAAATATTGATGACTATGACAGTAAATGTGTGCATATTTATGTCTTATATATTCAGGACAAGATGCTGGTGTAATTCATCATTATTTTGGTCAAGATGCACCAAATTCTTTGTGAGCATTCAGCTATATTAGTTGATATTATATTAGTCTGTGGCTTAATGTGGGCTCTCTAGGTTCACTGCTTACTGCATATAATGTGCAAGTTGAATGAATTCAGTGGAGTAAACACTGAAAGATGATTTGGGGCTTTGCGCAGATTGGTTCCTACTTTGGCAGCGTCCTTCAGACTGTTGACGTGGATAAGGATTCCTTGACTGACCTGCTGTTGGTCGGAGCTCCAATGTACATGGGCCCAGAAAAAGATGAGCAGGGACGAGTCTACGTCTACAGGCTCAAGGTACAGAAAATTAGTTCAGTCGGATAACTTTTGTCAGATGTCTGCTAAAGTCACAAAATAAAAGAGCTTTTTTTGTTTTTCCTCCGTTACAGAATAACAAATTTAAGCATGAGTATACTTTAAAGCCTATTAATCAGTCCTGCTGTACGCTCCAATCAGCCGGCTGCACCAATAAAAATGAGCCGTGCGGCGCCCGGTTTGGTACAGCCATTGCAGCAGTGACAGATCTTAACCTTGATGGGTATAATGATGTGGCGATTGGTGCGCCTTTTGAAAATGACCACAGAGGGGCTGTCTACATCTATCACGGAGACCAGAAATCACTCAAAGAGAAATTTGTACAGGTGAGAAGATGGAATTTAATACTGAAAGATCTGTTGTTGTTGTTTTCATTACAGTATACTTTAGATAAGGCTACAGATGCTTCCGCTCTGTGCAAATACTGTTTACCCAAGTTAGCAGCACCATTATAACCACAATGGATTTAAATTAACTGCAATTTTGCCTCAATATCCCCTGCTTTGTTTGTTGGTGTGTCCTCAGCATATTCCTGCAGGTGGCGATGGCAAAAAGGTGAAATTCTTTGGTCAGTCCATACATGGAGTCATGGATCTAAATGGAGATGGAATCACTGACATCACTATAGGAGGTCTGGGAGGGGCCTCGCTGTTCTGGTGAGTCGTGGCCCCTCCTCACAAACATTCACTGCAAAAACCACACATTCCACTTCAATCGTTAACAGCAGCAGCAGCGCTGCAGCCCAGAGACAGCATACATTTCCACTTTCCATTGCATTAATCAGGGTTTAGACAGCTGTGCATGTCCCACTGGGGTTGTAGGCTGGTGACCATCAACCTTCTCGTGATTTCTCTTTTAAAAGCCCCCGCAACATACTTCACAGTTGGAGAGCAGCATACATCCTCAGCCCACAAAGTTTTGAAGCCAACAGCATGATTTAACCTCCAAGGCAGACTTTCTCCCACAGCTTCTACTGACAGAGCTTCGACTAGGCTGTGTGAAAACTCCATTTCCCAAGTGACTTAGAGTTTAAAAAGGATTTGGCAGCAGGCAGGCTCTTCCTCCCGGACTGCTGGCTTAACATTTGGATGCCGAGAACTGAAGCCAAGTTTTATTCTCAAGATGCATTAGTTCCTTCCTTTGTGAAAACGTATTTATTCTACTCTGACTGCATCAGTGACATCATCTATTTAACGTGCTGCTATAACGTACTACTTTGTAGTTCGTTGCAGTACTGTGTGCAGGATGTGCAGTGCTTGAACTGCACACGCACTATTCCTGCGTGCTTTGTATTCTAGCAGTTAATGCATTTCATCTGTGTTACCAGGTCCAGAGATGTTGCAGAGCTGCATGCCAGCATGACTTTCAACCCCGCTAAAGTCAACCTCCAGCAGATTGAGCACCAGTGTGAACACGGCAATAGGAAATCTATTTGTGTGAAGACCAACTTGTGCTTTACCTACAGAGTCAAATCCAACCAGCCGACTGTAAAAACAACTGCAAGTGAGTCATGTAACAAACCAACTTGATTCTGCAATTTTTCTCGCTTATTTTTCTTCTTTATAACCACATTTTAAAAAAACAAAAACTTCTTGTGTCTTGTAGATATGACCTATACTATAACACTGGACAGTCTGCGTGCCACATCCAGGGCCTCATTTATTAGCAAAGATTTAAAAAATGACCGCAGGACTACAGAGAAGTTCACCATCATGGACGGAACGAAAGAATGCATGGAGAAAACCTTCATGATGTCGGCAAGTTGTGTTTTCTTACCTGTACAAAGTCTGACTTTATTTTCAGTCTGCATTTACTAAACACAACATTCAAGTGGATTCCTTTTGTTGCTGCGCTGCTCATTAGTGAAAGTTATATTCAGGGCTTCCTGGAAATGTTAATGGTGTTTTAGGGCTGTTAGCCAGAGAGGAGGGAGGGTAAAGCTGTCCTATGCAGAGCAGGAAAACCTAACATGAAACAGACCCCGTCCTGATCAAAGCATGCTCCGTTTAAACCTTGTGCCGCACTGGCCGATAAATTATCTGGAGACACTTAGAGAAAGAGTGATTAGAGTGAATTAGAAGGTGAATTAGGTAGTGATCCATTGACTACTTTTACCTGTAACTGCTAAAAGCTTTTAAACCTTTGCTGTACCACCTACTTTAAAACCAAGCGTCTTCTTGAGCAGCTTCTGCTTCCTGGCATTTGTGCCAGCCATGGATTTCTCTGACTGGCTAACCCTTTATTGCAGGAAAGAGGAGCTAATCGTTGGAAACAGCTGTTGTTATTATGTATGTTGAGTATGAATACCTGCTCTGTTCAAGTGGGCAAGTCAGACTAGAGACTTCCCACTTGTCCTCAGGCAGAGGTCGAGAATTTAACAAGCACGGAAGAAGCGCCGCGTCTATATCCCCTGAATCCGAGACGGATCCAGATCTGAACCCGTCTCACAGAAAATTTGTCTCTGCTAAAGCATCAGTTAAAATACAAATAAAGTTAATATCAGTGACGGAAATACTGAAAAAAAAATCAACATAGCAACACTTTATAAACAGTGTGGTTTCTAATTGTTTAAGCAACAGGCACAGTCTGTGCAGTTCAGTGTTGCTGATTGTAAATGTGGTGTTTTCATGTTAAAAGCTCTTCATCAGCGTCCTTTGAGTTTTAATCAGCATATGGAACGGTCTCAAGAAGGACTTCATCATAGGCAGCGCCTCAATGTGATGCACCACTTTCAAATTGGATGTGCGTGTGTCCATCATATGAAGGCTTTGCACAATCACACAAACACAAATAAATCTCAGTCACTTTGGTAAATAGCTTTTTTTCTCAGTAGCAGAGACTGTCACAAACCTGTGTCTGTCCTGACGTCCGTGGCGCTAGCGAGTGTTGCTTTTTTGGCGGCTTTGATGAAGGACTTTGCTACCACCATGATGATGCTTTCTTTTAACCAGAGAAAACACTGCCTCAACATCTCCTAAATGGACAGGAGCAAAAGTTTACGCTGACTCTTATAATCCCCAGAGGACCAATCCAAATACCTGTTGGTTCTCTGACCTTTGCTCTACCATCCGTTTGACATTTCTTTTAGCTTAAAGCAGGGGTGAGTGACTCCAGGCCTCGAGGGCCGGTGTCCTTCATGTGTCTTTGATCCAACACAGCTGATTTAAATGGCTAAATGACCTCCTCAACATATCGGCTGTATCCCAATTCAGGGTCTGCAGCCTTAAAGGCCGCATTTTAAGGCCGATTACATCACAGCGACGTGACGAAGGCTGTCCCAATCCGAAGGCTGTCCCAATCCGAAGGCTGTCCCAATCCGAAGGCTGCTCGAAATGTGGCCCTTAAATGCGTCCTTCATTTCCCTGAATTTTAAGGATGTGGCGGTGTAGACTTCGTGGCCCAACATAGATTAAGGTCAGCTATTGAACGGCGTATATTGTAAAGTAAAGGCTTTAAAACCAAGTTAGTACAAACGTCACTAATGTCACATAACTTTGCTGACATGTGGCCAACAATAATGTTTTAATGTTCTTCGTTATTAAACATTTGCACATAAATAAGTGACATGATATTCAGTACTTACTTAAAGTTTACTCTTCGGGCGCCCCTCATCCGCCGTTTTTTTCGTCAAAATTATCCACACCCACCGCCACGCTATGCATTCTGGGATATGTTGGGCCACGTCCTTAATATTCAGGGAAATTAAGGACGCATTTGAGGGCCGCATTTCGAGCAGCGTTTGGATTGGGACAGCCTTCGTCGCGTCGCTGTGACGTAATCGGCCTTAAAATGCGGCCTTTAAGGCTGCAGATCCTGAATTGGGATACAGCCCCTGAATTGGGATACAGCCATCCTGTGATTCAGGTGTGTTGACCCAGGGTGAAATCTAAAACCTGCAGGACACTGGCCCTGGAGGCCTGGAGTTGCCCACCCCTGGCTTAAAGTGAAATGCTGAATGGTTTTCCAGCAAAGTGTTGCAAATAGACTCAGCAAACACCTTATCAAGGACTGCACAGCAACACTGGAGACTTCATTTGCTCTGAAAACGCCTTTAATTCTTCCAGAGAATCAAAACAGGGGCATTATCTTGCTGGAAGTAGCCACTAGATGACCTTAAATAGTGTCTAAAAGGGGGTGACAAAGGTCAGGTGCAGTACTCAGATATGCTGTGCTATCTAAGCTGTGATTGACTTGAAGGGAGTGAACTGTGCCAAGAAAGCATTCCTCATATCATTACACAGCTCAGTGTTCAACTCACCATTTTACCACGTTTGTTTTGAAAGAATCAGTTTGCAGTTGATGCAGCAAAGCTTCAGCGTCAGAAAGCAGCCAGTGAATTTTGACCTTAAAGTCCTCCATTGTTCTTAACTTTTTTATCCCTCTGCCTTTTATTTTCCTCCCTGCTTTGCCTCATCGTCCGCCATCCCAGGAACGGCTAGACTTCCGAGGACCTCTGACTGTGTCTGTGGAGTTCGGAAAAGCTGATGAAGAAGGTCCTGTGCTGGATGAAAGTCTTCGCAAATCCATCAATGCCAATGTAAGACCACTTATATCACTTATGGTTTCTTTTAGTAAAATAATCGACTAGTTACACTAAGCAGAACATTTAAAGTTGCAGACAGGAAGAATTTGACTCCGGTCTGTCTTTATAATCCCGTAGCGAGGACACAGGTTTTCTTTTCTGGCTGCTGATACAGTGCATTAGCTTCTGCAACAGCTGACTACCATCCTTCAGTTACAGCCCGCATTAGTGCTTCAGCACCAGCAGCCAGGACCATCTTCCCACACCCCCACATGCATATTTCCTCTAACAAGAGGGTTCCCAGATTATTGGTTGGAGTGCGCAATGTTTCTCGACAAAGCTGGGAAACACCACAGGAGGATTCAGCTTCAGCATGCACTAGAAAATGCATTTAAAGCCCGTACGCATTAATCGCATTGTTATCTTTGCTCACACGTAAACGCACAACCACATATGTTGCAGATCCCGTCTCCCCGCATGCTGCGTCACGGGGACCTCTCCTGTTATTGTTATTGACAGGAAGAGAAGGGGACAAACACCCAGAGAAGAGGAAGTTATCAAACGGAAGTGTTTTTCTTTTGACATTGCACTGCAAATGATATTCCAATCCCATCCTTTTTGGGAGAGAAGATACTGTTGATCTTATCAGTCCAGTGGGAGACTATTAGGAATGGGAACAAATGCGACTGTGAGCCTGAAACACTCTCAGGGGGGAAAGGCAAAGGAAATGAAGGTCATCTAAAGGAACACTTCTTCTCAGGGGTGCAAACAAACATGCAGCTTATTTTCATTCTTATTGCTAATTTCACAAGTTATCTACTGGACTGAGTATATTCATACTTCAATATGAGGCTATGAGAGTTTGAGTCTTTACCACGATTGGCTTGCAAAGTAGTTGTGAAGTCACGCAGTCATCTTGTAAGTACAGATCTTAAACTCGGATTTGAATTGGCCTTAAACTCGTACGAGCATCATTCTGCAAGGCCAAGTAAAAATGCAGCTTTTGGAAATATTTAATTTGTTATTTTCTTTAAAATGTCTTGTAGATTACTTTAATGGACTGTGGAAACAAAACTCAGACGTGCGTTCCTGACCTCTCCCTGAAGGCTAAATGTGATGAGCAAAGGTTAGTGGAATTATTATTATTATATCGTTGTTATAAAACCAAAAACGAGCGTGACAGATCTTAGTTTGAGCATTTGTTTCCGTGTTTGCACTGGTTTCAGTTAAATACAGGAATTTAAATGGATTGCAGCTTTTTCAGAAATGGGTTTGCGTATATTTATACACATATATATTTTTTCTTGAATGTTATTCTGTACTATTTCTTTCTCATATCAGAGTTGTTACTTGATATGTTGTAAGTCGTAGTTTTGGAGTCATTCAGCCGAGTCAGACTGTTCCAGAGTATGACTGCACCCTTGTGTTGATGTGTGCGCATCGCATCCAGCCGTTCTGACTTTTTCTTTTTCATGTACTTCTCCAGTAAATTGATCAAAGAAAAGGAAATCATTTATTTGAATATCACCGTCAAAAACCTCAAAGACAAAGCTTATAACACCAACGTGAAAATCAACTTTACACAAAACATCAACTTTGTGAACGTAGAGGTAAGAACCCTTTCCCTCCTCTCTCTGCGCTACTTGACTTTACGGACTGAAGCAATGCGTCTAATTCTGTGACTACAATTCTTCAGCCAGATACAAAGACGACCACTGTAAATGACACCGAAGTGAGCATTGAGGTGGGGTACCCCTTCTTGGGAAACAATGAAGAGGTTAGTTTCAGCTGCCATGTGCAGGATCCGTAAAACATCTTTCCTGTACAATATATTTTCTTTACCTCTGCTCACTAAACCTATGGTTTGATGTCAAATCCACAGGAAACAATAACAGTGAAATTTGAGGTGAATCTCAAATATTTTCAGAAGGAAATTGAGTTCACCGTGACAGCTACAAGGTGAGAGGATCCCTCCATCTTTCTCCACATCATCAGGATAATAATAATAGTTCCTGAAAAAAAGATGAAAAAGATTTGTTTCTGCTTATTTCTGTGATTAATTGTCCAAAATGGTGGATGGATGTTCTGTTAATTTTACATATGCATGTAAATTGTATTTTTGTAGTGACAACGAAGAAGATTTCTCTACCATGCATGACAACAGTGCGACTATCTCCATCCCTGTCAAGTATGAACTTGGACTCACGTTCAAAGTAGATGTAAAGTGAGTAGCTGTGAATCGACACCTTTGCATTAAAGATACATTATTCACACTTTTCTTTCTTTTTTTTAGCCAGACAAGTAAAAGTTTCCACTATTATTGATGATGATGATAATAATAATAAGAAAAAAAATATTAGCATTTCCTTTTACATTGGAATAAAAAGGTGTTAGTACCACAACAGAGTCAGTCATTGTGCTGTGTTTTCCTCCTTGTTAACCAAGCCAGGAGCTTACGATGCACGCCAACATGCATGTAACGATAACGTCACCGTCATCTGGATTTGTAGTCTGGGGATTGTGATATGATGTGATTGTATATGGAAATGTATAAACACATAATATTCAACCACTCATTTTCAATTCATGAACGACAACAATTATTATATTTTAGTATTAAAAATGCCATTTAGATTTAAAAGCTGATCCATACTGCTGGATTAACCACTATAGAAACATAATTTTGGTAATTACCACTGCTGGTAATTTAGGACAGGTGTGGCAGAATCGTGGTCAAATATAGCAGCTTTTATTTACTAAGTAATAAGAAGAATAAACAAAAAAACAAAACATGTATTGATTTATTGATTAATAAAGTCAGTGGAATTCATTAATTGCTTTTACTTTAAGGTTATTTAGGGTTTCTCACGCATAGTTTGACCCTTGACCTTTTGATGTCTTGCAGTCCAATAACTGTCTCCTAAATATAACACCTAGAGTTGCTGTGATGGCGTATTGTAGTGTGCCACGTTTTCACTCAGTGGGTATCTACAGATGCATCAGTGGAGCATTTAGATGTACTTTTGAGCAATGTCAGGCTGTAAAATGGGGTTAAAAGAAGAATGAATGTTGTATTGACATCCTTTCCAAATGTTTGGAAGGTGATATTATGTCAGCCTTTGTTTGCATCTTGCGCTGCCAGCAAGTGGCCTAAATATGTTAATGCAGGTAAAGTTAATGCACATAGACTGATGGCTTATTCAGCATTAGTGAAGTTGGACTGTAAGGAATTAGGAAGAACTCAACAGTGTCCTTTCTTTAGACTTTTGGTTCTATTTCCTATAACTTTATTAGACACATCATTTGGCGTCTAAAGCTCTGATTGAGAAGTAAAGAATGTAAAAAGGATGTCCCTTTCAGGTCGCCTTTGAACAACCACATTGAAATAACACAAGAGGATAAGTATCCCCCGAAATTCAGTGACATCAGTATGATTGGAGAAGAGGTCAACATCACCTACACGGTAACATCTGCACGCAGTGATCATTTTGGATGATTTATTAATATAAGCACTGAACTTCTAGCTCATATGTGGCGCAGGGTGTCGGTAATATGAATTCCACTCCTTTTCTGTGTCTCACGTGTCCTCAGGTGGAAAAGTTACGTGACGGGGTGACTCCAACCCTTGGCCTTGAAGTGAAATATCCTTTTGAGTCTCCGAGGAAGAACACGTTACTGTACCTGACGCATGTCACCTACTCAAATGTAAGTATGCTTCCATGGATATGCAAGCGTATGCGAAGAAACAGACCAACGTTCGTGTCGTTTTCTCCCTACTCTGCAGATGATGTGTGACACAAAAGGACAGATCGATCTTTTTAAAATTAACTCGGAGGTTAAAGAGGTGAAAGTGGAAAAAGAGACGCTCAGTAACTACCTGCTGGTGAGTGATGACATTCGTGTTCTACAGATCGCTGAACTCTTCCTGCACCCGTCTTACGTGTTTAATTTCCTCTGCAGCAAGACAGCCACACAAAGTTTGAATCATTTAACTGCTCGATTTCTGAAGGCCAAAAGATCGCTCAGCTCAACGTGGCGTTCAGATTGTGGAAACCTACGTTTATCGAGGTACGTTTTGAGATGCGACGTCGCTGGGT